TCAGAGCTCAAAAATATTGCATGATAACCTGTGAACATGGGTTGTTGCGCCCTACAAGCAGGTGCGCCAATTGGCATGCGCTGATAGAAGGGAGTCTATCAAAGCACAGAAATTCCTTGAAAACATACCCACTCTTTTGAGGAGATTGCAGTTGATGTCCGAAAACAACACGACCAGACATTACCGTATCAAGAGAAGAGGCCCTAACAATGGAAGTACCCTATTTTCCGGTGTATAAGCCCGCGCTAGTATCATGTAAAAACACCTCCACTGGTGCAGTGTACTTGAGTACATCTAGAGTCAACCGTAACATGCCCATAGGGGTAATTCGATATGCTGATCACGAAAACGACATTCGTTTTTAGCGGTGGCGGCATCTGGCGCCAGTTGGCGCCACCTTGTCACGACCCTTGTTTTCGCCAAAATCGGTGTAAACTTCAGTATAGGGGTTATTTGGGACCCTGATTACGAATATGACATTCGTTTTTGGCGTTAACGTTGTTTAGTGCACATGTCTCGGTTGGAGAGCGCAGACGAGCAGAAAATAGGCGTCAAACAGCGCCAGCGCCTATAATGAATGTCATATTCGTAATCAGGGTCCCAAATAACCCCTATACTGAAGTTTACACCGATTTTGACGAAAACAAGGGTCGTGACAAGGTGGCGCCAACTGGCGCCAGATGGCGCCAGCGCTGAAAATGAAAGTCATTTTCGTGATCAGGGCATCGACTTACCTCTATAGGCAAATTTGCGGTGGTTTCTAAGGTGTACAAAGTTACACTGCGCGAGCGGGGGTGGTTTTACGTGAAATCGGCGCGGGCTTATACACCGGAAATTCGTAGGGCAATAAGCAATCTACGAAACAGCGTGCTAAAAGGGTTTTAAGGCGTTTTAAGCAAGTTTCTCACATTCAAACCGTCATCACATTCACCATTCGTTTCAGGTGCGCTCTGGGCGCCCCCCCCCCCCCCCCCCCCCCCCCCCCCCACCCTTCCTTGGCAACTGAGCAACGTTTCTCACCTCGCACACATTTGCAGACGTATGCGCGCTCAGTTTCTCCGTAGACACATTCAGCGTTTTGATGGCATGCGGCCGGGTCCGTCGGGTTACACTGATCTGAAGTAAGCAATGTGAGATAGAGCTGATAGAATCACTGAGATATCAAAATTCAGAGTAACTAGGCGACTCCAAACATAAGGCCGGTGTCAGACTTTGTGAGCGAGCAATTCGCTAGTGAATCGCTGGATTCGCAAAGTCTAAGGCCAGCCTAATCTGGTACAGATTTTAGATAAATTACTGATACTCATAAAACACACGAACCAGCAACGACGCACTGTCGAATCCCGTCGCCACGATAGCCAGGCAGACATTCACAGACGTAGCCACTATTATCGACCACCACACAGTGGCCATTTTCATGGCAATCCGTGGAGTCACGACACTGCTGAGGCACGGGACGGGCTAAATAATGGCGGAATTACCTAACCAATTTATTGTAGCATTAGAAATAGCACCACAATATAACTCACCTGGTGGTCGTTCTCCCTGAGTACCTTCGGTGTGGATTTTCACGCAGGTCGTTCCATCTCCAGCATAACCTTCATAGCACTCACATCGGTGAATTCTGAAAACCAAACGCGATCGAATTTGAAGAGACAATATGGAATTCAAGAGATCTACCTGTTGTGACTGTCATAGACACATTGTGCGTTTTCATCGCAATTTCGAAGTCGATCACAACCCTGCGGCTCTTCTGAATATCATTATTTATGATAAATACTTAGAAAAAGGGCAGAAAATTCAGCGTTGATCGATGCCCTTCTATTATGCGCCGTGCATTACACTCCCATCCAGAATCGCAGGGTATTTGAGAGCGATCTGACCACTTGTCGCTAGATTTGATGTTGCTAGTGTTTTCAAGGCACACCTGATACCAGGGGTGAGTGATGCTAATTGCAACCAGCTCTAACCATTATTTTCAATATTCGCATTTTTGGTTCGTTAAAGCGAGGGATTACGATAAGTTTGGACTGGGTTCATAGTGGAAGTGGAGATGCTGAATAATGCCCCAGTGGCGAAAAAAGCAAAGAAATCCGTCAAGAAGGCGCAAAATGGGACCCCTTTCTTTGCCCGTTGACCTCCGATAATGGACGAGCTAGCAACCAATTAGGAGGTCGTTTGCACATGTTATGCTGATAGCCTCTATCATTTCAGCAAGCATCATGCTTTGATTGATCACGCATCCCATGAAAAGTTATAGGATACACTCTGGAAGTGGAATATCTCGTCACATTGGCAATCGAAGGGCGCTGCTGCTGGGGGCGGAGCACAGACCGTGGCGGGGCTCAGAAAGGAATGGCAAGCCCTTTACGCTGCAGCCTTCTGCCCCTGACTACTGCTTCCAGTGGTGGACGTACTTCCACGCTGCACATATACTTCATCGTAATCTCTCGCCTTTAATGCTTAATCTTTGACGATGTTAAACAAACGGTAATAGGTTTATAGGCAGAGAAACTGGACCGAAAAGGGAATCGGCGATATAAACACCATTTCTCATGTCGAAGAACTCAAAGGGAAATTTCATGGTTAAGTGTTTGTGGGTGAAGCCCCCACGTCTACTTTGTAGGATTCCCAAAGCGCCGATATTGCGCCGGTTTGGCTGGAACATGCGCTAGGACTCATGATGAGCGTGATGACGTGAGCGCGTCTGTCGGGCTCCCAGGTCAATGTGATTTCAGATGTATTGTTGTCTACGCCTCACCCTTCCCCTTGCTATTTCTCCTCCTTGTTGTCTGTTCACTCATCCAGACGCCCGAACTTTCTTCCCCGCAATTTCGTGAACTTCTCAAAACAAACTGCGAAGAGCACGGACTCACGAGGACAGTATAAGGATAAGGATAAAGCATTTGCCGTTGATCAATCCCTTTTGGGATGCGGCACGCATTCTACTTCCATTTGTACATTCGTAGTGGCGTTTGAATGCGATGTGGCCTATACAATGACTTGCGGGGGCCAGCCGATGTACAAGTCAGTGTTTTTATCCTCCCAGACAAGTCTGGTACCAATTAACCGACCCCGGAGGGATGGAAGGCTTGGTTGGCCCGGGCGACTCACGACCCAGGATTTGATCCCCGGACCGCTCGCGTGGTAAGCGTGCCACTTGCCACTACACCACTGTATATTATTACTTTCTTATAAGCGGGTCATTAATCTACAGTATTCTTGTCTGAACCCCCATAAGTACGACGCCCCGTGCCGTGAAATACGATTTCGAGTTCTAGTTTGAAGTGGTCGCCATTTCAGATCTTCATATCCGAATTCACAAGATGGATTGCTAACAATTTGCTAATCTTTCTAAGACTAATTGATCTTTATATTTCTAATTCACATCTCCAACACTCCATTGCTTTGATTTTTGATCCCGCTTTTAACAAAACGTGTCGAGAACAATTGATAACAGAATGGAGAAGAAACAGGGTAAAATAGCAAAAAAGATTCGGCATCTGGCGTCCACCAATGCTTTTTCACAGTGCGCCACGTAGTCCACTTTGTTCAAAATGGAACTTTTATTTCAAGCTATCTAGCCTCTGCAACGACTCTCGAGGGCCAGTCGATGATGAACATAAGCTAGTCATTTTAACGAAGTCATTTCAATAAATCAATAGAAAACAATAAAACGGTATAATGGGAATAATTATGGCTGGTGATCAGAGATCCTAACTGGTCGATATCAAAGTGCAAAAAATATGCCCTATTCAAAACACAGGTCTAGACATTGCTCAGTAAGGTAAAACAGGTTGACCATCGACAAAGATTGACTCTCTACCTAGTTCAGGCTGAGAAAAAGCCTCTATTACTGGCCCACCCCATAAAAATAGCGCTATGAGCGCTACAGAACGTTTCAGAATAACTGTCTACAGAAGAGTCATCCGTTGGTTGTGAGTAAGCGTCTCTTGGGGTCTGCTGAGCGCTGCATCACATCATCTTTCGATTCTTTTTATGAGGGACGGTTTTTATGGCGAAAGACTACCGAATAGGCGGTTGTTACACCGTGAACGATGTCTCAAACTTGTTATACAAATTATATATGAAATAGTCTTGCAATTCGTGTCACGAATAGCAAAATACTACCTGATTTCGATGGAATAATAGTTGTGAGAAATAGCAGTAACAGGGTGGTAGACATTGGAAAAAATGAGACTAAAGTGCGGAGGTGGCGCGTGTATGTTATTCGGGGCCAGGAACGTCAACTGCGCTCGTGCCGGGACAATTAGGTGTTTACTGCTACCACTCACCTGGGTTTCATTTGGAAAGTGGAAAAGAAATCTTGGATTGGCAGCCATTAACCCAGCATAAACTTTGTAAATACTCGATAGTGTATGAAGAGGATCGCGAAGTGATATGAAGAGGACCCAGTGTGTGGCGCAACCCAGGGGCTGCTTAAAGCGAGGGATTACGATAAGTTTGGACTGGGTTCATAGTGGAAGTGGATGCTGAATAATGCCCCAGGCGAAAAAAGCAAAGAAATCCGTCAAGAAGGCGCAAAATGGGACCCTTTCTTTGCCCGTTGACCTCCGATAATGGACGAGCTAGCAACCAATTAGGAGGTCGTTTGCACATGTTATGCTGATAGCCTCTATCATTTCAGCAAGCATCATGCTTTGATTGATCACGCATCCCATGAAAAGTTATAGGATACACTCTGGAAGTGGAATATCTCGTCACATTGGCAATCGAAGGGCGCTGCTGCTGGGGGCGGAGCACAGACCGTGGCGGGGCTCAGAAACAGGGTCAACCCTACGTTGTTACGAGTAACAACGGGGGGTCGTACCTGGTTGAGTTTGTAGGAGGGGGGGTCGTACCCACTTTAGTCGCTCGAAATCACGTGTGGGATTGAGGAGAAACTAAGATTTCGTGGGTAGTAGGTTGTGCGAGTAGAGGGCGCGCAAGATAAAAATTTGCCGTTTCAGCCGGTGTATATACCCCCCCCCCCCCGCTCGACGGCATTTTTGGAGGAAAAAGTGGGCGGAGTTTTGAGGGTTGAGTGGTAGTGGAAGTTAGTGTTATAGAGAGGAATATGGTGGTCGAGGTGTCGGAAGGGGGTCGTACCAAATCCACCTTGGGGGAGGGGGGTCGTAAAAATTTTTCGAATAAGTAACAACGATAGGGTTGACCCTGCTCAGAAAGGAATGGCAAGCCTTGTACGCTGCAACTAGCGCACCTTTGACCACAAAAACGCAACATTTCGTTTCCTTGGGCCCCTGACTACTGCTTCCAATGGTGCATGTACTTCCACGCTGCATACGCACTTTATCGTAATCTCTCGCTTTAAGGAAAAGTGTCCATCGTTATTCCACTAAGGTCAACAATAACCCTCGAGTATTATTAGTTGTCTAAATTCCCAGGTAATATTAACACATTGCGGACCACCGTTATATTCAAGGACCCCGTGCCTTTTTTATGTTTTCAGAAAATGAATCTCATTATCAACCTTTATCAGTGATGATACTATTGTTTCCTGGCTCTGAAAATGAGTGCAAACACTTCAGGAGCATTGAAAAATGCCAAATAAATCGGATAAAACGATCTTTCGCTTGAAATCGTGCGCCACATGGTGGCGCACGCGGTACGCAATGTGTTTTTAAAAGGCTCCAAATTTATGATATGCAGACCGGACGAAATTGAGATCGTTTAGGATATTCCAAGGCCTTAGGCTTTGGGAAGGGTTTCTGGAATTCTGACTCACCTCGTTCTTCGGTTCCTTCGCTCCTGGTAAGGTGCACTCGACTCCATTTCCAACATACGGCTCGGTGCAGGTACAGTGATAATAGCCGAGTGTTCTACTGTAGCTACAGCTTCCGTGAGCCGAACACTCTTCGTGGGCTCTGCATACTTTGCCTGGAAATTCAGTAGCCTAGTCAACGTCAAGTTATCGAAATAAATAACAATCAAATGCAAGCGGCCGGAGATATCGACAAAATTCGCTTTGATTGCTGATCACCTATGGAACGGGGGTCGCATCACCTGTACCGGAAATATGGAGCACCTTGATTCAAGGACTATACAGGCGACAGTGCTTTACTCTACGTCAGCTTAACCCACGACCCACCCACCCAGTTCGACTATGGAAAGAAAATGATTAACTATAGTTGTATATCTTGCAACACATCCTGTCTCTGGCTGCCGAATGAACAAGGCTTTGGACCTTGACGTTAAATGAGTGATTTGTTCTTTATGACCCCCAAAAGCTGGAAATGTTCAAAAACTATGTTCCTTGGACGGGAACAAGTGGTGCGAACCACCGGGCAAGCCAGATGTGCAACTTACTTCGTTTTCATGCTGCATGACTCCCAGGATAGGTAAAAAAAAGTAATTCCAAAAAACAACAGATCAACTTGAGCAGCGATTCCCATCCTATTGTTCGATCCCAGCACACACCATCCGTTCTTGACAACAAAATATTGAAGGCAGCGATTACGATAAGCTTTGGAGGGGTTTGGAGGGGACGCCGATGGTGCTCAATGGTACGGCAATGGCGAAGGAGCAGAGAAATCCGTCAGAAAACGTAAACGGGACCCCTTGTTAGCCGTTGATTTTCGCTCACGGACGGGCAGCGGCTAGAAGGCGGACGTATGGACGAGTTTACCGCAACGCGTTTGGTGGCACCATGCCAATCCATGCTCCAGTCGAGTTGCTCCAGTTGCTGCTGCTGCAACACAGCTCGTCCAAATCGCCAACTGAACTAGTGGGTAGAGCGTTCATATGGCAGAGCACTTTTCAAGCACTGTTTAACAACCAGCGCATCCTTTGTCGTAAAAGCACCACACTTTGATTCC